TCATTCGTCACTTTCACGGAAAACATCCACATGGCGTTGTATTGTAAAATCATATTTCTGTATAACTACAAAAATATCTTTATTCACACATCATAGTGAAACCTCTGTGTTGTATAACTCCTGTAAAATTACATTTATGGCAGCCAATAGAAATAGGAAATGTGGATTGGAAAATGTTTTAAGATCAGACATTTCTGTGGCAATGAAATAAAATTGTATTTTACATACACCTTGATGACCTTGCTAAGGGTTTCTAGTCATGTTAAATTATTATTGTCTTTTTTAGATTGTATTTTTTACAAATATACAGCGTGTTTCAAAAAGATGGACCCAATTTCAAAAATATAGCGATTTCAAATCTGGTCCATCTTTTTAGAACACCCTGTATATTCACTAAATACTATTACATTGTGGACGCATCCCACATATTCAATCTCCGGTAGTTCAAGCAGTAGGAAAGCTTTTTTTAAATACCCCCCCACCACCTTACCCAGCAGTATATGTTGGTAGACCACAGTTGCTCGGTTGGTCACATGATGTGGTGGGGATAAGTGTGGGTATTCTCACCTCTTCAAAGACATCTGGCCGGGCATGGAAGAGTTTGGCCAAATACCCTGTAGAGCTTCCTTCTGTGAGCCCCTTCTAGGAGCAGTCACGTGGGCAAATCAATGTAGAGCTTCACCTTTTCGCATATTTTGACATTTCACAATGAATGGTACTGTATAAAGGTGTATTCATGGCGAAACCCTCATGTTCGTAAACTTTGTTAGAGAAAAAATGTCAACATTAATACATATGCATAATTTTTTAAATACATTTTACATCATCGTTGAAAATCACTGTGCTACATATCAAGAACAAAATGTTTGATATCCTGTTTAACTCGTGCACAGTTAATTTGTAACGTAAATAAATAATTGTCCTTCAAAAATGCTTTTTAGTACGAACACTCTTTGAAAACATTACATTGACCACATACATTATAATTCTCAAACGGTATTGGAATCCTGACAATTAATTAGTCTTCCATGCTGAAAGCAACACACAAATCTAGCAACATCTTAATATAGTTGCGATGAATTCAAGCAATGCATACCTCCTGCACTATATAGCTCACTTTTAAATGAATAGATTCATTACATATGTAGTGGTGGTATTGACGTGCGCCGGGAGTGATGGATCACGGGGCGCGGGGTTGGGCACGCGGTGTGGGCGTGGCATGGGACGCGCGCGCCGGTGGTGAGGCGCGCTCACACAAGCTGGGAAAAGAGGATCGTAGCGAGTGCGCAGTGATTGGTCAGATAAGTGAGTACTCTCAGCGACGTCCGCAGGAGGGGTATAAAGGGGGACGCGCGAGAGCACTCGTGGTCAGTGTTAACCAGTTGAAGACCGAAGACGGGGTGGAGGAGGTAGGGGCCCTGTGTGGCTCGGAGCCGAGACTGGGGGGACCGTAGTCCGACGCCCGTGTGGGTCGGGACGGTGGTACCCAGAGCCGAGACGGGCACCCCGGCTGGGTGTGTCCCGGAAGGCTACAGGGCGTAAGAGCCCGTGTCAGTACAGCTGAGTGGGTGTGGGTCACCCGTGTAGCTGAGTGGGTGTGGGTCACCCGTGTAGCTGAGTGGGTGTTGGTCACCCGTGTAGCTGAGTGGGTGTTGGTCACCCGTGTAACGAAGTGTAGCTGAGTGGGTGTTGGTCACCCGTGTAGCTGAGTGGGTGTTGGTCACCCGTGTAGCTAAGTGGGTGTTGGTCACCCGTGTAACGAAGTTGGAGCTGAGTGGGTGTCCGTCACCCGTGTAGCTAAGTGGGTGTTGGTCACCCGTGTAACGAAGTAGGGTGTTAGTCATCCGTGTAACTACAAGTTGGTGAAAATAAAGAGTGTGCTACCCGTGAAGTCGTCTCCTGCCGAGTTACTACTTTACAACTGGCGTCAGAAGTAAACCTGTCTTCAAGGAGAATGGACACAAGGAAGACTTCTCGTTCCCACGTGCAAGACCGGGGAGACGACGACGTACCGGTGACACCACCCTCGGGAGGAGAAGACGAGGAGTTGCCGCCGATGCAGCACTTCGCGGAAATGGCCGATGCTCCGCCCGCCTCCGACACCAGCCTGCAGGACGCACACTCCCGCCTGGCGGAGTTGCTGCTCGCCGCCGCTGCGATCTTGGCGGAGATCTCCGTTCCAGCGGCCGGTGGAACGCCTGCGGGGTTGGAAGAGGCGGCGCGGCTGGAGGGTTCCCGCCATAAGGCGTTTCGCGCCAAAAGTTTGGGAGTTGGCGCCATTTTTGAGGGTCCGCCTCCGGGTTGGCGGGAAACGCGGACACCACGTGGCCAGAGGTCTCCACACAGCGCAGCCCGCGTCATCGGCGAGCGCCGGAGCTCTCCATTTTGCGCCTGCAGAGGGAGCCGACATTTTTCTACAACCACAGCAGCGAGCGGGAAAATCCGTTCCAACGACGACGACGACGATCGAGTTCTCCAGCAACGATTGCCCGCGCTGTCGGTGTTCAAGGCGGACGGGGCGACTGGGGAGCCTTCCAGCGACGGTTCATCGCGCATCAAGAAATGTCGGGGTGGTCCGACACCACGGCCCTGCGCGCGCTGCCAGCGATGCTCGACGACGACGCGCTTGCGGCCTTCACGTCTGCCCCGAGGTCGTCCCGCTCAACGCTCCAAGGCCGCGCTGCACCTGTTGGCCAAGGTGTTCGGGCCGCCCTCGACCTGTCGCCACCAGTTCTACGATCGGCGGAAGGTGGTTGGAGAACAACGCTGCGCCTATCGCACGCGCTGCTCGCCCTAGGCGGATTCAGCTTTTCCTCGCATGGGACAAGGAGGGAAAGGGACGGCCATGGTGACGGAGCAACGGCTGGGCGCTGGCTCACGGATTGGGAGTTCCCATTAATACGGCGGACGAGATGGACATCTGCTCCCTGGGGATTGCCACGAGTATCCACGCTTACGAGGTCCTACAGCGGAAGCCGACGGTCGTCTGCGCATCGGTGGAGAACGGGGCACCGGCCGCCACGATCAGCGGACCTCAGCCTGCTGTGCCTCGGGAGGAGGCCTTCGCTGGTTCGAGGCCGGGGGAGTGGAGAACGGGAGGTCGTTCGCCACACGCTCCTCCCGCAAGCTGGAGCAACCGAAACCTACGACGTCCCTCGTCGTCTGCTACAACTGCGGCCTTCGGGGCCACGTCGCGGCCGGGTGCCTGGCCCCGCGTCAACGCACCGCGGGACCCACGTCCGGACGACGACCAGGGACTCAAGACATCCAACTGAAACCCGGTGTCTCGGACCTGACGGCTGTTGACCGTCGGGAACCGGAACCCAGCGGCTCGCACGGAGCCCCGATGCCTGGCCCATGCCTTCCTGAACTGCCGGCGCCGCCGGATGGCCAACTGCGTCCTGTGCCGTACGACGGTCCGGCAAGGCGGACTCGGTCAAGGACGCAACACTTTTCATGAAAAAAAAAAAAAATTTCTTTTTTTGTTAAGCCCGACTTCGTTGCCGGCTTCCCCCTCTGCCGGGGTAATGTCCCGTTCAAGGGACGCTCGGACATCGGGACGCTGCATGAGTCGGAGAGAAAAGAAGAGAAAATGATTAAAGAAATTTTTTTATTGTTACTCTTTCCGCATACACAGTATCGTTGCCATTCGCCGGATTGTGCATGTTGTTCTTGTTGCGGGTGTGGCGGTTGCTGGGTTTTGCGGATTGCGGTGTTCATGTTGTGTTGTTAGGGTTTGTGTTATGTTACGGGGCACACGTGGGGGTGAAGGGGTGTTGTATGTTTTATTAGCAGCCGGGTCGGCTGCGAGCTATGTGGTAGGGGGTGATGTAGTGGTGGTATTGACGTGCGCCGGGAGTGATGGATCACGGGGCGCGGGGTTTGGGCACGCGGTGGTGGGCGTGGCATGGACGCGCGCGCCGGTGGTGAGGCGCGCTCACACAAGCTGGGAAAAGAGGATCGTAGCGAGTGCGCAGTGATTGGTCAGATAGTGAGTACTCTCAGCGACGTCCGCAGGAGGGGTATAAAGGGGGACCGCGAGAGCACTCGTGGTCAGTGTTACCAGTTTGAAGACCGAAGACGGGGTGGAGGAGGTAGGGGCCCTGTGTGGCTCGGAGCCGAGACTGGGGGGACCGTAGTCCGACGCCCGTGTGGGTCGGGACGGTGGTACCCAGAGCCGAGACGGGCACCCCGGCTGGGTGTGTCCCGGAAGGCTACAGGGCGTAAGAGCCCGTGTCAGTACAGCTGAGTGGGTGTTGGTCACCCCGTGTAGCTGAGTGGGTGTTAGCACCCGTGTAGCTGAGTGGGTGTTGGTCACCCGTGTAGCTGAGTGGGTGTTGGTCACCCGTGTAGCTGAGTGGGTGTTGGTCACCCGTGTAGCTAATGGGTGTTGGTCACCCGTGTAACGAAGTTGTAGTTGAGTGGGTGTCCGTCACCCGTGTAGCTAAGTGGGTGTTGGTCACCCGTGTAACGAGTAGGGTGTTAGTCATCCGTGTAACTACAAGTTGGTGAAAATAAAGAGTGTGCTACCCGTGAAGTCGTCTCCTGCCGAGTTACCTACTTTACACAGTCATTGGTGACTGCGCTAAGACCATTAACTTCTCCACTTGAGAACCCAGTTTAAACACAGGCAGCTACCTGGATTCAAACCCAGAATCTCAGCGTACGCCAAGATCAGCGCTCTGATCTCCAATGTGAGTGCCAAGAGCACTTAGCACGGGCGTCTATAACATCGGTCATTCATCTAGGGAAGTTTCAGTCCTGCCCAAGCACACTAACTTTTCACAACAATCAATATGTCTCTAGTTTGGGTCCTCTGATTCATGTGCTCTTCCCACTATCGCCACCATCAACACACTCGGCAGCGGCGGGTCCGTGGCTGGCTACGTACGGTGCAAAAGAATTTAAACATACGTACGTGCATAGTACATCCGGCCTCCTCGGCAAACCGTGACCCTTCACGGCCACCGTCCGTGCGCTTTCGTTCCTCCAACCTTCAGCTGGCGGCGGAGGGCGGAGGCGACCGCGTCCCTTCGGGAGGAGCTGGAGCGGGCAGCGCGAGCGCAGCTCCGGCCTCCAGGCGGAGCTGGGGGTCGCGCGGGAGAGACGGCGGCGCGGCACGAGGGCGACGCGCAGGCGCTCGCGGCCCGCCTGCAGGACGCCGGCAAGCAGGTGCCACCGTCGCCGCCACCCGCCGAAACAAAGACAAAGATCTCCCCGTGTAGCCTAAAAGGACTTTTTTGGGGCAAGTGCCGTCAGCGAGTGTCACCTAATGAAGGCCGGCACGGCACGTGAAGGGATTGGTGGCCAGCGCCGGGCCCGGCCGCCTTTGACTCCCGAGTGGCGGTGTTTTTTCACACCGCACCAGGTACTCATTTGAGACTGAGTCGACCTAGGGGAGGCCCAGCACCGGTTCAGATAATTGACACTGGTGTTGGCTGTGAGCGGGAATCGAATCCGGGGGACAGGATTCGTAGCGCAGCAACACCACCACCACACCTGGCACCTCCACTACCACCACCACACCTTCTACCATCACCACTTGGACCGCCACCACCACACCCATTGCTGCCACCACTTCCATATCTGCCACTACCACACCAATTACTGCCACGACCATGGTATCTGCCATCACCACCACTACTGCCACCAGCAAAAGAGCCAATGCCACCTTCCCTGCACCACTGCCACCACCGCCACCACCACCATGCCTTTCCCCATCATCACCACCGCCACCATAACCACCATCACCACTGCCGCCACCACCATCACCACCATCACAGCCAACACCATCACCAGGCCCGCTGCGACCACTACCACCACTGCTGAGAGTAGTGATGGTGGGGATAGTGAGAGGAGAACATGGATCGGAGGACCCCCAAACTAGAGACACATAGACTGTTGGTAAAAGTTAGCGTGCTTGGGCAAGACTGAAACTTCCCTGGATAAATAAATGATATGACAGACGCTCGTACTCGGTGTCGTTGTCGCTCACAAGCGCACCAACACGTCTGGCCAGACCTGCCCGAAGGTTCTTGCCGAGGCCCTCTGACAAATAACAACTCCTGACCCCTTGCGCGCCATGAAATTTCAGGTCATGTTTCCACGAACTAACAGCCCCCACGAAGCCATTTTCCCACGAACAACTTTACCGATTTCCCAGGTCACTTCGAGTGCTGTAGAGTGTCGCGGGATTGGGACTCGCTTCAAAAATATGCCAGCGTTTCCAATTTACAAGCAACATTATCGCGTCGTCTGCGAAGGCCTCCCTGGGGAAATCACAAAGTGGTACCCCCAGTGGAATTAAGCGCCCCAGGAAGTTCTGAAGAAGTCGGGCGGAGAGAGACCATGGCTGCCGAGATGCTGGAATATTTTAAACACGTAGGTTGTGAAGATGAATTGTCCATCATTTTACCGGGGTTGATAAAATAGGTACCGCTTTGTGGGAAGTCCACAGTGATTGAACTCCGCACAGACTCGTGTTGTTTGGTGAAATTGTGTTTGTTCAGTAATGATCGTGATATTTTTTGAGTCCAAATTTGCTTTTAGGTTCGGTCACGTAGTGGTAGATTTATGGAAAAATCATGAAACATATTTGCACGTGCACATGTATTGATCACATTCGGACCGAGAAAGCTCATGACGAGTGGCTTAAGACTTTTCGTGATTGAACGTAACATCACGTGTATGTTGATGTGAACATGCTGTTACGTTGATAAGTTATAAGTTACGATTGTGCCGATCAGTAATGATAAGCAACGATCCCGCTGATCCGTAACGACCGTTACGATCGTTTGAAACACGGTGCCGTGTAATGACGGCCGCGTTCTCGTCCCCTGCCCGTCCCGCGCCGCCCCAGCTGGAGAGGGCCCAAGGCGAGGGGCGAGATGCGCGTCGGGCGCTGGACGGCTCCCAGACGGAGCTCCGACGAGCTCGGTCCCGCGTCGACGAGGCCCAGGCGCTGGCCGAGCGGCGGCTGCACGAGGTCAGCGCCGCGACGAACCTCTCCCCTCTCTCTTTCCGCACAAACCCTCGTCCCGGTTGCGCGCCACCGGTGTCCGTAAGAGCGGGGGGCGCCACTTCGTGTTAAGAGGACGGCATGCAGAAGCGGGCGGGGTATGACAGAGCGACCTCTGAGATCACTACACGTGACGCTGTTTCGCACGGTAGGGGGCAGCACTGTCCCACCTGTTCTGCCACTGTTAAAGTAGGGTCCACAGAAGTGGATTTCACAGAGCTGTTTCTTAAAAGTTGGAAAGAAGTTTTTTTTGCAGATTTTTTTTTCCACAAATTGCTCATCCTTGCACTACGTTTTGTTGTTGAGGTGTAAGCATAGTGACGGAGTGACACAATCTTTTAATACATCTAGAATGGAGAGGATGTCCGCTGCAGAGATGGAGCGATGAAATCAGCTTGGGAGCAGGTGATTGTGAAGTCGCATGACCGCGAGAGATGATGATGGCTTATGGAACAATCATGGCTGATGCTGATGATGACGATGATAAGATTATGAATTTGTATGATTGTCATGATGCTCTGTTAAATGTAAGTATATTACTTTATAAATAACACAATCCGTGCACAACTGGTGGTGACATTCAAATAGCATTTTGCGGTGCTAACCCATTGGGGCTCCGAAGCAGAAGTTATTTTTGGGGCCCCCCTCCTTCAGTTGATAAAATCCTAGCGAGATGACGGAATGGGTAAGCGACATGTTAACAAAACAGAGATGTGGTGAGAACAAGAGACGTTGAATGCAGACAACGTGTACAGAAGAGAGAAGTTAATTGTCTTTTTTTTTTATTTTAACGATCTTGCTCCGTTCATTAGGATTTCAATTTGAGCTGACATTTGAAAGAATCCAATTTTTGGTAATGAATCCTGAGGGGCCTTCAAGCTTCTTTGGGGGCCCTAAGCTCTTTGCTCCGTTTGTTTATTTCCCGCGCCACCGCTGCCCGGCCGCCAGCCAAGTGGCTCGGCGATAGAGCGAGCGGCTCGCAATCGGAGCGAGCGGCTCGCAATCGGGGGGGGGGGGGGGTGTCGACTCAGCCTGCCGACCCTCCCTTCAGGCATGGGCACAGCACCCCACCGCTTCGTGGGGGACCTCAACAGCATTTGTCCTGATAATTGTTTTCTTACCCTTCTATCTGGCAACAAAACTGACACCTTTTTTACAAGGAGTCATGTTTGCATAGACCACAATACCTGCAGTCATAATGCAAACAAAAAACATGATAATGTATGCACTGTCCTTGAAGTTGATTGGTCCACACCCGAGACAGCTTTCCTTAGAGCCTAGTCCTCACATGGGTTGGACCAGATGACACCAAAAGGCGTAAAAAAGGTGTCAGTTTTGTTGCCAGATAGAAGGGTAAAAAACCAATTTTCACATTTTTACTGGCAAATGAGGTTCCAATGGAGCATTTGTCCTGTCGAGGGCCCCGTCCCTGCCATGGGAATGTGGAATTTTCCCAGCACTGGCTGAGGGCTGCAAGACAGGAGATGAGCAACCCTCCTCAACGGCCGCCGGAGGAAGAAATCGCTTTTGACGTTTTGACCTTTTTGACCCTTTGGGGGGGGGGGGGGCCGGGACAGCGTATGAACCCCGCGCGCGTCGTTGCTGTCCACTCGCAGGTCACGCGGCTGGAGCTGGAGCTGGCGGCCGAGCGGGACAGGAGCCGGGAGCTGCAAGCGGGCGAGGGGCAGCTCCAGCGGCTGCTGAGCGAGCTCTCCGGCGTGCGCGGCGTGCAGCGTGACACACAGCAGCAGGTGGGGGGTGGGGGGGGGGGAGAGATGAGATCTAATAATTTGTTATTATTCATTCGCTTATTTACGGGTGGTTCCAAGTTTTCCCAGTCGGGAGCGATGATCGATTTCGGCAAAAACATTTCGGGGCTCGGGGTTTTTCGATCCTTGCCTATGAGATTTGGACCGCTCTATGCCGGAAGAACTCTGCCCGATCGCTATTAAGCTTTTTTTATTCCAGCACCGTGCTCTGTAGCCCTTTGTTGGATCTGCCGAGCCTAGATTCCAATTGAGTAATTTGCGGAAGAATATTTCAAATTTGGACAACAATGCCAGCACACCAAGAGGCGACTCTTGCGTGAACGACGTCGCGTGATCTTCAACGTCCACCGTGAAGACGGCCACTGTAAGGCAGGCGGCGTGTCGTATTATAACGGCTGGTGCACCCGCGGTATTAACCAGGGCGGCCGCTGGAATTGAACTTCGAACCTCTGCAACGAGCGGCCAACGCGCTGCCGCCAGGCCGCGTCACCTCCACGCGTACGGTGGCTAGGAGATGTTAACCACCTCGCCTGGTATGCAGGAGGTCGTGGATTCGATCCTGACCCTGAGTTTGCGTGTCTCTCTCCCCGTGGCCGCGTGGAATTTTCTCCGGGTCCTCCGGTTTTTTCCCTCCACATTTAGAATCAACGTGCGTTCGGACTATTTCGCTGCTATAAATTTCCACGTGATGATAAGCCACTGCGTTGAGCTATCATTTGTGATGCCCAGGTCACTTCTGAGAAAGAGCAGTACAGCTCAGTGGGCCTTACCTGATGAAATAAAACTAGTTATTTTTTTCTAGAATGCCCACGTAGCTTTTTCGCGGTTGTGCTGTTGCACGGCTCTCCGATGTGTTGTCGTGTTGCGCCCCCCCCCCCCTCCCGCTGTCTGACACAACGCGCGACGCTTCTCGACCGAACTGAATTGCGGAGAAGCTGCCCGGCGTGTGTGCGGCGAAACGTCAGCCGTCGTGCCGACAGCTCGTCGTGCCAACAGCTCGCGGTGTTGCAACCCCCCCTGGATGCGCTCAACCTCACCAGAGCTTAGAAGCCGAGCAGGGTTTAGCCTGGATCGTGCTTGAGTGGACGGACGGTCACGGTGTAGAATAGGTTTCATTGAGGCCGCAAAATCCATTGTTGTACGGTACTTCTATGCCCCCCAGTGTATGCTCCCCGCCTTGACCACCCCACGATGGCCAGCATGGTGAATAACGATCTCATCACCCACATAACCCGCATGGCGTGGGTAGGCCCTCATCCAGCAGTGGATTGGCAAAGGGCTGTACATGCACAATATTGCCATTTGTCTATCCAGACGAGTCTCACCGAGCCTCAAGACTTGTTTTCAGGAGAGTCCTAAGTTTGGATATTTTGCCATTTCCATTATAAAAAGTATCTTTGCATGTGGGAGGAAATCCGAGTACAGCAAGCATACCAAGGGGGTATAACACAGGTCTGCACAGAGGGGTACATTAACTCGCTTGTACTGCTCGGTCACCTCGCATCCACGCTGGTTTTTGAGAGGGCCCGCAAATCTTGACGCGATCTGCCAAACGTCGTCTCTCTAAAAGCGCCGCGTTTGCCCGCATCCCCCGATTAGCACGGTCGGCTGCGTACGGCGCGAAAGAAGTTCAACGTGTACCGTACACGCGCGGGTTTACTCCACCCCGCCCGGACTTTTTCATTTCACGGGGGCCTCCGTTCAATAACGCACGCGCTTTGATCCTTGTTGATATAATTTCTGCGGATTGATTTGTCTTCATGAACACAGCTTAAAGTCTTAATCTATACGCCCTTCCTTTCTGTGCCTCTTAATTTGTTTTCCCACCTCGTGTTGACCTTGCTGCACCCGTCCTGCCCTTACTCCTCCTCCCCCCGTCCAGTTGGGCTCTCTCCCTTCTTCCTCCCGTCTTTCCCCCCCCCCACCACCGCCCACTTCTGTCCACCTCCCCTCTCCACGCCTCCCCGTGTCCCCTCCGCTCTTCCTTGTGCTCCTTCACGGAGCGGCGTGCCCTGGCGTCACGTGTCTCTCCCAGGTCACCAGGTACCACGTGAAGCACGCACGCATGCCGACTTAGCGGCACCGGTTCTTGATGTTGCCCTTCTGTTTGTCTCCAAATTAAGGGTACGTTTGTGCTCGCTGGGATAAATTCGAGCTCTGAGACTGAAAGATATTGGATTGACTGTCTTTAGCTGAGCACTGCTTCAGCCAATGCAATGTCTCTCACCTGGGTAGCTTCTCCCATCAACGTGCTCCTTTCTGTATCCGTGCATTTGTAACTACAGCTCGGCTCTCCCATTATTCCAGAATCCGAGTATTTAATTGTACTGGAGGAATCCGATGAGCTATCAAGCGCCTTTTCACAGATGCCCAGTGTGGTAGGGGGCGTTGTTGGAAAGTGGCGGAGGTGATGTCCGCCTCATCAGTGTGGACCAGACGTCACGTGCAGGCATCTCGGAGGTAGCTCTGTGATGTAACAAGCGGACGTTTCTGGGAAAACCAAGGCAGGCATGCTGCCCAGCGCGCAGATGACTTCGCTGTCAATCGCCACCGACTCCAGTATGATGCTCGATTAGGGTCACAAAAACTAGGACAGGTGGCAAGCCTATTCTCGGTGACCTCTCTCTCTGGTTTTTATCTAATTATTGAAGGGGCACCACGCCGGCGTGATGTCATCTTCCTCGCCTGCTATGCAGGAGGTCGTGGGTTTGATCCCGAGCCTGATGCCTGCTGTATAATTGAAGTTTGCTTGTTCTCCCCGTGGTTGCGTGGATTTTTTTCTCCCGGTCCTCCGTTTTTCTTTCCGCCACATTTATAAGCATGCATTTAGAATGTTTAGATTATTTGGCCGCGATAAATTTACGTGCGATAAGCCACTTCGTTGAGCTATCGTTTGTAGCCAGGCCCGTGGGCTTTACGTGGTAAAATAAAAAAAAATGTTTAACTTTATTTGTATTTTTTTTGTGATTTGCTTACGTATACTTTGCAATTCCTATTGGCTTTTTTATACCGTTTGCCGTGGTAACGTTCTGACCCCGTGCCCCTACTGGACACCTGTGAAGAAAGAGCTTTACGGCTCATCGGATTCCTCTCCGGTATAAAGATTTCTATTGCGGTGCCCCCCTCCCCCTCTCTCTCTCCCGCAGCTCGAGCGCAAGGAGGCGGAGGCGGAGTCGACTCGTGCCGAGCTGTGTCAGGCCGTCGAGAGGCTCGTGCAGCTGGAGACGGAGGTGGTGGCGCACGACAAGAAGGTGAAGCGCTACAAGGTGGAGCTCAAGAAGTGCCGCTCGCAGGCGCAGCAGCAGCAGGAGGAGGTGCGCGCCCACACACTCGCAAGACAAAGATCCCCCTCCATCCCGTGTAGCCTTGAAATGATTCTTGTTGGGACAAGTGCTGTTGGCGAGCGCCAGTTGTGACCGGTACGGCGCGCCGCGAGGTGGTGTGTGACCAGCGCCACGCCTGGCCGCCTCAGTCTCCCACAATGCCGGTGTTTACATATCGCTCGTTTGAGGTTGAGCCGAATTTGGGGAGGGCCCGGGACCGGCTCATACATTCGGCACCGATGTTGGTCGTGAGCTCGGGGTCGCAAGGTTTGCAGTGCAGTGCGCTAGCCACTATACTATCGCTCCCCACACATGCATACACACACCGACATGCAAGTTATACCAGATTGCTGGCGCGTTGAATCATTATGCGGTTTGCTATCCACTGCTGGATTAAGGCCTTCCCACGATGTCACCATCATTCCCGGTCGTGCGATTCCACAATCCACCTAGTCCCTGGGCATGAACTATGGCAGTGTTCTCTCCGAGCTTCACGGAGGCGCTTCACGTTGACGAATGCAGCGATTCCAATTAGCCGCTTTCTTTTTTTTCCCCTTATGTTTTCCCTTCCCGCGACCCTACGCAGGTGTCCAGCTGTAAAGAGCAAATATCAGCGCTGGAAAGTCAACTGGAAAAGGCAAAGCAAGGAAGCTTGCAGGTGAGGGCTCTCCAAACAGCAATCGCCTTCTCGCCCTCACCCACACAGGCGTAGAGTTCGGAGTTCGTCCCTGCTCCCTTTGCCGAACCGATATCGAACGAGCTGCGGTTAACCCCGATTTATCCGTGGCCCGGTTATCTGGATTGAGGGTTTTACCGTCCTTGGTGAATATTGGCGAGTGTTTTTTCTCGCACGCCGCTTTCATTTTTATTCGTTGCTCCTCGCTCACCGCCGCACAGCGGTCGGCAGGCAGATTACTTTAAGAAGCAATGAAAACAGACGACACGTTCCACGTTTGCGCCCCGATTCTTCATCGGTAAACAGTAAATACGTTTTTAAAGCCTGATTTTTGTATTGCATCACCCGTGTTTCCTTTTTATCTGAGCCCCCCCATCCGTTACCACGGGTAACCAAGAGTTGATTTTGTTACATCTTTTATTCGGACTTCATGAATAAGCATTTTTGAGTTGCGTTGTGAATGCCTGCCTGTGACGAATTGGCATGTTCTGTTTTAGGTGACAACCCTTACTAGTTGGCTGTGTCCGGGTGGTGACTGGTTTTTAACGACACATTTATATATTTACGCGATCTAACCCAAAACAAAACTCTATTATGAATTTCTGCCTCTTAGGATTTTTCATCCCTGAATCGATTATTTCGTCTTAAGCCAGGTTCACACCTGAGCGACCAGTCGCGCAACAGAGTTGTGTGCAACCAGATCACTTGCAACTTATACGTCTCCTCAACCGTTTGAGAGCAGCCGAGACGTCCGCCACTTTCAAGCGTCGACCCGCCCAGCGATTTGTAGCGAGCTGCATCGTCACGATCCTGACCACGCTTGCGTCATTTCCCCGTCGCGCTACGGCTCGTTGGGACGCAGCAGCCGCAGGCTGTCCACCGCATTGCACGATGCGGTCGTGCCAAACGACCGCTCGGCCCGCGGTGGAACCCGGCCTCAGGCCACTCTCGCCCTCGCTTGAGTCGCGCAGGAGCTGGCGAGCAGGGAAGGCCGCCTGGAGGCGTCAAGGGCCGAACTGGAGGCGGCCCGGGAGCAGCTCCGCGTGCAGGAGGTGGAGGTGACCACCCCACGCTACCCCCCCCCCCCATGCTGCTACCCTCCCCCTCCATCCCCCACGCTCTTCCCCTCTCACGCCCCCCCCCCACCCCCCCCCCCCCCGATGGGAGACAGAGCTTTTTGCAGCCAGGCTCCGCGATTGTGGAATTTCCTTCCTCCTCGTTGCGTTAGGGAAATCTCCGAGTCTGTTACACTTTTTAAATCACGTCCTAAAACTCACCTGTCTTCACAACAGGCTTTTTCTGTCACTTAAGCTTTGCGTAAAATGCTTTGGGGCTTTGTGAATTGCGCTATCGTGTAAAACCGAGTTTATTATCATTGTTTTTATTTGGCGCAACCCAATTTCTCCGCGCCCTCTACGTTTAGACAAACGTGTCAAGCCGACACTGACGAGGGCGCAAATTTTGTTTTGACAAATATCCGACGGTCGTCTTCTGGGTGTCACCGCCGTCACCGAAAAAAAAAATTAACGCTGACGAATTAACTCAAGGGTGGGCGACAGTGAAAATAACGGCCGGCGGTCGATGATGATTGATGCTCGTTGCGAAGGCGATGGATGCGCGCTGAAGGATGATGGGGATAATGACGTTCGATTGACGGCACCGCATTGGCTCGTGCTGATTGATTGATTGATTGACGGTGGGGGGGGTGAAAGTGAAGGTGGGTAGCAGTAATTGACCGGTGCCCGTGAAGGTTGACCGCCGGGTGCCTGCGATGCGTGCGGACGCTTGCAGCTGTTGGCGGCACGGAGCGACGGGTCTCGGCTCCACCAGGAGAGCGAGCAGGTCATCTCGAGCGTGCAGGGCTGGCTGTCGCAGCAGAGGTGAGCGCGTCGCTCGGCGCTCTCTCGGCGTCGCATCACGTGCCCCCACCCCAACCCCCCCCCCCCACCAAACTTCCCTGCACGCACACACGCAAGGTACGCGCGCACCGACGCGGACACCCGACGGCAAGACGCCGTGCCCGCCGCGCCCGAGCTGTCGGTCGTGCAAAGCGAGTGTCTGTTGAATGTCGCACGACGCGGCCGCCTCCAAAATCTGTGTCCATGTCCGGACGAGTGGCGCGTTCGGGGTCGCAACGGCGCTGCAGATCGCCGAGCAGGATCGACGCTTGGAAGTAGCCTCCATCTCTTGCCGTGGGCAAACGGTCGCGCGCCTGCTCGCGACTGGATGGCAGATACGCGTCCACTTTGTGGGCCCATCTGTTGCGAGCATCCAGCACCGGCCAAATGCCGTGTCTGCTCACTTGTGCTATCCACTGCTGGGTGAAGGCCTCCCCACACTGTCGCCGGCCTTCATGGTATCGAGAACGGCTGACGGGGCGGTGAATAGATGCACGCCTATTAAACGCCACCCTCGGTTCAGCGTATTCATATGTACGGAGTGTTGTGCACTCGAACTGCCAGGCGATCGCAGTGTGGAGCGAAGCCAGCAGAGGTCAGCACTAACTCGCCACGCTTAGCGCATCACTCGGTCAGCACTAACTCGCCATACGTGGCGAACATTGAAACTGGTCCGGGCCTCCCCTAGGCAGACTCAGCCTAAAGTGAGTACCTGGTGCGATTTGTTAGCATCGCTACCGATGAGACAAAGGCGGCCGGACGTATTGCTGGCCAGCCGCCACCTTCATAGGTGCTCGCTAACATCACTTGCCCCACCAATCTGTTAAGGCTATACGGGGGATATTTGTCTTTGTGTGCATGTGTCCAAGATGCGCAGGAGACTATTAATCACTTGATGATTCGCTTTGGCCACGCCGGACGCTGGCATGCCTCGCAAATCCGATTTGGCCATTTTCCCCAGTGTGTGTGTGTGTGCATAAGCGCGCCTTTGTGAGCCAGTCTTACGGACACGTTAGCGACCTGCCACGTGACTCGTCCAATTGGGGGGACATTGAGAATCGTGATCTCGCCTTCGTACACTCCCACCCAGGTAGATTAAAGCTTCCGATAGATGGGTGTGCGGCGTTATTGCGTAACGATCCTCGGGAGATGGAGAGATAACCAGGTGGCTGCATGTGAACCTTATGGCGGGACCCCGGGGTCCCGAATAAACGGAAGTCAAAATCGCAATTAATTTATTTTTGGTGACTCCGTGCCACCGCGCACACAAACGCCGCGACCCACCTGGCGCGGATCATTCTGTCGTAGTGTCGTCCAGCCGCAGCGGCGAGGGCGAATGCGCAGAAGAAAGAAAACTTTGATTAGCGCGTCGTGTAGAGCTCGTCGAGAGGAATAGATTGCCTTGTCGTTCGCCTTCAACAGACACAAAATGATGTCGCAACGCAGTTTATGCGAGAGCCGGGGGCTGATGGAAACCCTGGGGTCCCGCCTTCAGGTTCACTTGTCTCTCTGAAGTATTCTGGGGGTGCACCTCGCCTGCTGCGTCAGCACCATGTGCCACGTTTCTTCCCATGTGCTGGGAGCTTTGGTTGATTATTGGGCAACTGAGTTGGTTCCTTAAGAGGCTCCCGGCACGAGGAGCGAAACGTCGGACATGCCGAACAACGCGCGGTATGACCCGAACACACATCGGACAGCTATAGAGCACGATCTTGAACACTGACGCAGCATTAGTATTGCGTGCATGCTTGCATGGTTAGGTTGGGGTAGAGACACAGTGCGATTGTACGTGTCATTGCCGATATGTCAATGTCACCCTCGATCCACCCAATCTTCTCAGATCACATAAGCAGGGTTGTGCCTGGACGGTGCTTTGACGGGCGATCGCCGTGCCCACCAGATGTTGCCAGGCGCTACCGAACAGAGGCCAGTCACAGCTAAATCAATCGCCCTAACCGACCAGCGTGGCGAAACGTGCTCAAGTTAATCTACGCGACTCTGTGGCGAGCCTCATCCAGCAGTGGATTGATCGACGGGCTATGCGAGTACACATCGGTGCATTGTGATGATGCGTAGGCCAGGCACTTGTGTGGCACCGGATGCTTTGCGAGAAGGGGTTGCCCATCCTGGTGTGGCCTGCGCCGGGCTTTGCGCGTGTCTCCCTAGGAGCGCTCACGAGCAACTGTGCGGCCAAGTCAAGCAGCAGGGCCGCGAGATCTCTGCGCTGACGGCACAGAGGGAGTAAGAAGCCCCCCCCCCCCCCCCCCCCCCCGCCGCTCGGCGCCACGCGGTCAACCCGCGGTTATCTCTCACCGCAGCGTGGGTCCGTGGCAGCCATGCATCCACCGCCGCCACCGCCACCGCCACCACCGTACCGCTCGGTGACCTTCGCCAATGTCAACGGCATCAATCAGGAGCGGTGTCCCCTGCACCTCCCCCGCCGCTCCCCCCCCCCACCCCCCTGCCTCTGTGCCATCGGATGTCATAGTCGGCCACCCTAATCGTGCTCAATCAGTGTCATCGTTAATGGGCATCATCGTTATTATTGCCGCCCGCCGTTATTAACCGTTATCGTCGCAGGCCTGGGCGGCCGTTGGGTTGCAATTGAAGCTCGTGGGCCACCTCAAATCGACACGTGTTCTTTCTGCTCTATCTTTAAAAAAAGGGCCAAGACTGCTGCACTGACAGATTCGAGACAGGAAAAGCCTAACACTCTACCTAACCCCTAACCCCGAACACCTTAACCCTGCAGGAAAACTAAAGTAGCAAAGCTCCTTAGAATTTCATCAACTGAAACTTAAAGAAGCTCTGTGATTGAACAACAATCTGGTCCACGATTGTATAGATAGATAATAAATAGGTCAAAATAAACTCTTATTTTCCCATACATATGTGGTGGACTGTAGAACTGACAAATCGTATTTTTCACTCACGCCCGCTCACAACGGGACGGAACTAAATACACAACAGGCTCACGTTTATGGGCAAAAGCTCTTCTTGCTAACAATTCATTCATTGAGCCCTGTCAGCCTATTACATAATATTCACTCTATGGTAGAGTTAACGAAAAAACATGGTGAGTTAAATTTTCAGTTATGCTTGAACACCATCGCTAACTCCGTCGCTGAACAATTAATGCTCCTGTCCCACGGGTGGGGGGACTAGAGCGGGCCTGTTTAAATTTCACGGCAAACGTTTAAACGTTGATGTTATACATGCACGTTGAACTTCTTTCGCACCGTACGTAGCCAACCATGCTACTTGGAGGTGCGGGGGGGGGAAGGACAACAAACGAAACATAAAAAACTGTTCTAAAGAAATGAGTTTTCGATCTAGATTTAAAAGTGCATAGCTGCAGTGGCTTCCTAATATCAGAAGGAAGAGCGTTCCAGACGGCCGCAGACGCATGTGAAAGCGCGCGATGCTCTGACCGTCTTTGTTCGATGGCTAGCCATGGTCGTATGTTGAACTTTTTTCGCATCGTACGTTCGCCAACCATGCTAACCGGAGCTGCGGGGGAAGGACAACAAACTAAACCAAAAAGCAGTTCCAAAGAAATTAGTTTCCATTCTAGATGATTTAAAAGTGCACAGCTCCAGTGGCAATATCGGAAAGAAGAGCATTTCAGACGGCCACAGAAGCGTATCTATTAAGCGATTTCCTTATCGCAGCGCCCACAACTTTACAAAAACCCGCCAAAGTGTGCTTCGCCAACTCCGCGCGTGTGTTCCCGTACGCTCACAACACCTGCTTGCACATTCTCACTTCTGCCTCCTATTCTCCCCTCACCCCCCCCCCCCTTGCGACCCTCTCTCCGTCCCGACCACAGCCACCTGCAGGACACCGTGCAGTTGCTGGCGCAGAAGAACGCCGCTCTGAGTGGCGAGCTGGAGAGCTGTAGGGCCGACCTGGAGCGAGCAAAGGTGGTGGCAGTGGTGACGCATCGCTAATGGGCACTACCGTTTTGACACAGAGGCCCAGAGGTCATTGTGATTATGACAATCACGAATTTGAATAAAGTTACTGGATAAAACCAGATCGGATATGGCCGTAGAAATGCACTACATTAGGTGCTTGCTTTATTTTCATCTTTAAAATTTCAAATGTACATAACATTACTTCATTAGCTCCTGCTTTAAATTATTTGTCTTGGACTCTTAAAGGGTTATTTGAACGGTTTTTAAAATATATTTACGTAGTTTATGTATATGTAAGGTAGTTTTTTGGTGGTGGCACCAACCGCGTCTTATTCCACGATCTTTCCGTTGAAATATATTTTCTTCCCTTGCTCAAAACGTTACCGTGCCACAGCCGTAGCCTTGCATGTTTACCCACAATCCACCGCCACGGCCCGTCTCACCGCGGCCCGGTTCCCAAGGCAAAAAACGCATCCCCCTCTCCTCTGGCGCCCGTCCGCTCGCCAGACAATAAATCACATCGGTGGGTTGGCAAAACGTAACGATTCACGACGTTGACACATCGCGGGCCGTTTGAACAACGCGCTGGCGGGTGACCGGGAAATTAATTGAGTTTGATTAAATTGGGAGAAATAGCAAACCCGAGTTGCGAAAGAACAGTCGATGGGTTTGTTGACCGCAGAGGTACAACAACGACGACAACAAAAAGTTTCTTTGTGTCCTTTAATCACTGCACGAGTGCTGTGCCATTGATTGCAATTGTCCCCGGGTTCTTATTGACCTTCATTATTAGGGAACATTTTGTTCTTGGCGAGCCATATCCAGACTGGCCGATGCTTTCATATTTTTGCTGCGTTTGTGAGTGCGGCACTTTGTTTTTTTTTGTATGCGAGATTTCCCACGAAGAGGCTCTCTATAAATAAATGCTTTTTTTGATTGATCGATCGATTGCCAATGATGCCGCCCGGCTGAAAGATTTGTCGATACCGGCTGCCCCTCCACCGCCGGGGAGAGCGGCGAGCCCGACGCAATCCGTGCGTTTCAAATCGCTGGAACGCTTCACCCTCAGATCCTGATAAACGGCCGATTTCGCCGAAGCAAGAGGGCAAACAATGGCCAGGTGACTACTTCCGAGTCTGACATGCGTGCGCGCGCGCGTCCGTCCGTCCGTCCGTGCGTCCGCAGGCCGAGGTGGAGCGGCAGGAGACCGTGGTGACGCAGCTTCGCTCGCGACTTCACAAACAAGAGTGGGTCCTTTTCGCAGCGCCCTGGTGCCGTCTCTCATCGAGCTCGGCCCACCAAAGCCAAATCCTATTAAGTGTGGCCGCAGGCCACGTATGTCTATGCAGCCCTTTGCCGATCCACTGCTGGATAAGGGCCTCCCCTACCGCCATGCGGGTCGTGGGGGTTGTTTGACCATTACGGCGCGCCTTCGTTTGGCAGGGTTGGCTATGTACGCTGCGAAAGAAGTTCAACATACATACATACGCCACGGGCAGTGCAGGTTGGTGAAGGCGGAGAGCGTAGACGTACAGGACAACGATAGATTTTTGCCACACTATCCGCTGCTGCCCGCAACATGGCCCAGCAGGTGACAGGCTGTTGCCGACTGTGCATGGAGGTCACCCATCCAAGCACTAACCGGACTCAAAATCCTGCTTAGCTTCAAAGATCTCACGAGGTCACACATAGGCTGCCGCACATATAAGCAGAACTCCATTGTGTGTCTCCTTGTAAAGATATGTTCATCGGTCTCTTTCGCTTTCCAGAACAGTATCATCAAGCGGCATTTGTTTACGAGATCACACTCTGGATGGGTTTCAACCTCCCGTGTCTCGTCAGCAGAGTCAGGCTTGTTAAACAAAGGCTGCTGGATTACCAGATGTTATTGGCAAGAGCACTCCGTGCAAATTCCGGGGGTGCGTTCAATGCAAAAGAGACACGCAGATCGGCCAAATGCGAAAGACGAAAGCACAGAGTCTGACAGGTTCAACGGCACGCCCAGTGTGCCACATGGGGACGCGCAAAAAAAAACCGAAAGACATAAGGCCATCACATAGCAGCACAGCTCTGCAAGTCAGCCCTTGAAGGCACAAATTACCCTAAGTGTGCAAACTGAAGATTTGCCCTGAAACAATTGCCGCTCTAAAGTGCCCAGTCGTCTAGCAAATGAGCCTATTAGCTGTTGAACGCTGCGTTCTTTTTGACAGGCGTTGTAAAAATAATGATGATGAATTTGATGATACGCGGTGAGCATAAAATCTGAAATGCAATGAGTAGCCCGCTCGTTAAAATGCCCCCTTTTTACAGGCAAACAATATCGTCGTCAAATCCTACCATTGGAAACTTCGTTTTACCGCTGCGACACGCGCGCGTTTGGAACGTGCGTTGACGTGGCGTGCAAGCGCCGCGTCCGTCCCAAGCGGCTGGCGGGCGGCTGCCGTACGGCGGCGCAGGCTGGCGGTGCGTCGTCACTCCAGTCGACAGACGTCGCAGCTGGCGGTGATTTCGGAGAGTCCGTTCCAGTGTCCCGCACGAGTCGAGGGGTGGATTTTGTCCCCTCGACTCATGATGCAAAGCAAAGGTCGGAGAGGTCCCTGGGTAGTGGGCGGGGCTACCTGGGTAGTGGGTGTGGCTACCTGGGTAGTGGGTGGGGCTACCTGGGTAGTGGGCGGAGTCAGTGCCAGAGGTGGCTTTGCAACAGCAGGTGCAGCTGACAGCTCACTCCGCCGTGTGCCGGGTTGAGCCTCTCATAAGTTTATTAAGCTTTGGTGTTGAGCCGTGCCGTGCCCTGGGCCAGCAATCCTATTGCGCTTTTGTATCGTTTGTTGTAACCCAAAAGAAACCAATTATAAATCGGGTTCGCGGTTGTTGCGAGTTGTTGATCTGAGCCCCGCCGCCATCTGTGAAACTACTAGACGTCTGTGAAAAAGAGCTTTATAGCTCATTAATGTCGTAACAATATTCTGATTCTGTGCGGTGCGGTGCTACGGTGTCTCTGCTCAGGCACGAGCAGGAGCTGGAGTTGGCCGAGAAGGCAGCCGTAGCGACGGACATGCACGGGCGGCTGAGGTCTCACATCCAGGTCACCCAGCAGCTCAACGAGCAGGTGCGTGTGGGGGCAGCTGAGAGGCACGTGACGTTTGTATACCTAACCATGTTGATATCGACATCTTTAAAATAAATGCGCGGATCTTTGTCAACCCACTGCCGGGTGAAGGTCTCGCACCGTGACAGTCATCAGACTTGTTTTGACTATACTTCACCACGGTGGTCGAGTGTGTGTTAGCAAAGGGAGGGACCCATAACCTCTCTTCATATATCGCTCCACCGATGTTAGCCCTGTCTTCGAATTTAACTCTGGTTCACCAGGCTCCTCGTGCAGTGCGCTATCCACTGCGCCACCCAGCCCTACGCCCGGTATTTACGTAATCATCAGCCATGGTCGATCCACTGCCGGATGGAAGCCACCCCCAGCCGTCGCCACCCCCCCCCCTCCCTTTTGAGGGTCACGCGACATAACGGACCACATGGGGCGAGCCCATCGCTCCGTCTCCGCGTTGGATGCTTTAGGTCAGGGACACTTGATTCAGCTTGTTGAGTGCCTTTTGGGAGGTGAGTGGGAGAGATGGCTGGGCGTGAATTATGGGGGTGTTTCGGCGCATTGAGCCCACGATTCAGTGGGGTTCACAAGCGTCGCGAGTTGACGGTCTCGGCAGCCCGATCACCGATGACTGCTGGAAAGAAAAAAAACCTGCTGTCTTATTTTGTCACTTCATACAGATTGTCCCGGTTATGGAATGAAACGAAACCTGCGTTGAAATCGCACACTTACTAACACACACGCATATGTACACTCACAAAGACAGCCACAACAAAGGTCTCCCTTAGAGCTGTACTTTAATACAATGTTGAGATGAGGGCTGTTAGCGAGCACCTAATAAAGGATGGGTGGGTGGGTGACCAACACCACGCCTGGCTGCCCTTGTCTCTCCAGTGCTAATGTTTACACACAGCAGCACCAGGTACTCATTGAAGACTTCGTTCAACCGTGGGGAAGCCCTGGACCAGTTTATATATTTACCATTGACATTGGTTGTGAGCGGTAATCGAACTCGGCTTGCCGGGTACAAAGCACAGTGCGCTAACTACTGCGTCACCGCTCCCCAAACACGTACGAACATACTCGCGTAGACTCACAAAGACAGCAAAGACACAACATCCCCCTATCGCCTTCAGATGTGTTGGCTGCGAGTTGGTTTTCAACTCGGGTTATTGGGTTCGTAGCGCTATACATTGGCACACACTCACATAAATATTGATGGCAAAAAAATCTAATTGTGGCCAATGAAAACAGATACATCATTCCGTTTCTTTGATGAATTTTCACAATCAGGGTTGGACATTTGATTCAAGAATGCATTTATTGTTGTGCGATTTTACCTTCTCATTTGTATTTTCTCACACACACACTCGCACAAAATCACACACCCTCGTACATATGTACGCACGCACGCATACGCGAACACCCACGCAATCGTACTCGCGCACACACACACACTCTCTCACGCATATGCACTCGCGCTCGCACGATCTCACACTCTTACACGTAACCACCTCCATGCAAACACACGCACGCTCCCACGTACAGCTGAGCACAATGAGCAAGGAAAACCTGGAACTGCGTCAGAGCCTGCGGAGGCAGGAGATGACGAGGGGAGACCTGGGTCTGGCCCATGCTCCACTGCCCTACAGTCGAACCACGATGCCCTTGCGGGGATCCCCCAGAAACCCCTACGCCGCCGAGACCATGCAGGCGAGTCTCTGAGCGCTCGCCGGGCCGAGGTGTGGATGGGCACGGTCATCGTCGTCGTCGTCGTCGTCATAAGCCATGATCTATCCACTGTTGGATGGAGGCCTCTCTGTCGCGGCCTCGCGATGATCGGGCGGAGTCCGGCTCGTGCACGCACGTGGTCGATTCCCATCGCTACCTTCATCACTGCGGTGGACTTCCTCTCGTTAGGATTGCCACGTGTCCTTGGTGTCCCAGGATCATCCTCTTCATGAGGTGGCCATCCTGGGAGATCTGTAAAGTCTTCCCACGACGTTAAATGTCCTGGTTACATCAGCACTTAAGTAAACCCGCTAACATTAAGTTATCCCCTTCCCTGCCAGTGATGTGAGATATTCTTCTTATTCCCGTGGTAACGTTTGCTTTTGTACTTCAAAAGATTGCAACCCTACCTCTTGATCAGGTTTCCTCCCCCCCCCTCCTCCCCTTTGGCTGCCACTCTAGAATCGCTCTCGACCGCCGGTCATCATTCCCCTCCGGCGAACACGTCCTGCTCACACTCGCTTAACGCTTAAGTCGATGCGATGTCTCTAACCTGGCTTATCTTCTCTCATCCACGATGTGCTCCTCTTTCTGTCCCGGTCCATTTGCAGGTAGAGCTCGACTCTCCCATTATTTCAGAATCGTCAGAATCTGTATTTTCAGACTGCAGGAGATGGAGGAATCCGATAATCTTATGAAGCTCTTGTCCACAGATGTCCAGTATGGGCACGGGGTCCGATAGATACAACAGCAAATCGATTCCTCTACCAAATATTCGACCAAGCGGACACTACGAAATGGTTGGGGGGGAAACAAAAAGTCTCGTCTCTTGTTCCCACATGTGCCGCTGGACGGTAGGTGATGGGTCGGAGCTTAGTGGTGAAGGCGATGTCGGCATTATCAGCCTTGGGGGGCGGGGGATGTCTGGGTGACCGCCAATTTTAAAGGGGGGGGCCCCCAAAAGAATTGACCATTCTAATTTTAATTCATTCATGGACTCAATTGGCTCATCATCCCAGCTCTAATTCCAAGCTTTCACAAGCTCCCGAGGTCATTGTTCCATAATGAGGGCGGTGGTGGTGTCTGGGCATTTGAGCCGCAGCCTTTGGGGGGCCTTGTCCCTTTATTGTTGAAAATTGCAGAACCTGACACCAATAAAGTTTCCACCCTCCCCCACTCCACCCCCGTGTGTCTCTGACAACTATATGTAGTGTGTATATTTTAACCAAGAGGCAGAGATGCATGCATTATTGACCATTAGGTTATTATACAACGTGTGATTTGTGTGCTTATAAATGACCATAAATGTGTTTTACGTTGGTGTACGGGCACAATTTCTGTGTGTAATGATCGTAAATTCTTCTGGTATCCCAGCGGAAAGAAAGCGCCACGTAAAAACAAGACTTGATTTATCGCAGAAGTGTCTGTATCTAACGTGCATTCGTTTATCCGTGGTGGGTGTCTTTGTTTAATGCTTTACCGCAAGCCGTCAAATTCTGTAAATACAGCACGTGATTTTAAAATATACTTTGTCTACAAAACTATTTTTCTGATTTTTCTTTTTTAAAGTCATCACTCACGCGTTTTGATTTGCATATATCGCCCTCACTCGGCTTGAAATGAGCGCACAGCGCCAGCTATATAACAGGTACTCCGAAATCATCTATATCATCTTTTTGCCTATGATGACCAAGTAGAAGTAATAATCTGTCCGATCTCGGAATATCTCGAGCGCGGTTGAGCCTGCTTACTAATTGGAACAGGAAGACTGTCTGGGAATAATTGGGTTTTGTTGCGATGGCCTGGAAGGTTGCAATAGAATATTCAATCTATCTGTTGCGGAGTTTTGAGCGTTACTACCTCAAATGCACGGGTTGTATTCTGGACACTCCAGTTTCCTCCCACACGAAGCCAAAACGCTCCTTCATGGATTTGACCAAACATCCAAACGTGGAACGACGCTCCTGACAAAAGTCTAAGAGACTCGGGATTTAGTTGAAAAATAAATGGCAACCCTTTATCAATGTGCTGATGGATGACGGCCTCCACATATGGAATATTTTCTTGCCAGTATCAAAGAATGAAAAATCTGAATAGATTTGACCCTTTGTGGCAATAAAACAGGTGGTGTTAAGATGTTCAAACACCAAATAGAAACCTTTTGCCAGGAATCAAGTCTGCATGTTCACCACAATGTATGCATTGTCTTTGCAACTGATTGGCCCACACCAGAGACAGCTTTCTTTATGGCCTAGAGCACCTTGACACCTCGTGCTTTAATGCCAGAAAGGGTAAAACCGATTCTTAGTTTTCCTTCTTTGATACTGAAAAAAAAGGTCCCATGATATAGCTGCTCACCCCGAGCTAGAAATGCTCTGATTTGTGCATTGGTATTGTGCTGTTGACCTTTTGGCGTTCTCTGGCTTCCACATGCTGCGTGGACCATTGGGGGTTATGAGACCACACTTCATCGCGCTGGACATTGAGGTTTGGAAAAAGTTGAAGGGGCGAGGACTCGCACGTAATAAAGGGCATTATTTCGATTGAAAGCTTTCGTGACTGCAGGGATTCATATTTTTGGTTCTTTCGGTAAAGTCACGTAGAAGGGAAACAATAAAATAATAAAATTTAAAACAATTTAATTCTCGCGACGTTTCGACTGCAACACAAGCAATCACCATCAGGTGTGAAAAACACACCTGATGACGATTGCTTGTTTTTCACACCTGATGATGATTGCTTGTGTTGCAGTCGAAACGTCGTGAGAATTGTATTTATTTTTACTTTTTGTTTCCCTTCTACGTGACTTTCCCGAAAGAACCAAGCATATAAGGGCATTATTGTTCTGACTATATTTTTGGTGTGCAGGTGGTCCCATTTCACTCGACTGTGGAATTGACATATTTTATAGGGAGTATAAGCGCCTTGTGTGAATCTCAGCACCAGCTCGCTCTCAGCAGGAGCCGCCTGCTTGATCTAAAGAGGTAACTGTTTAGCGATTCTCTACCCTGATGCTTTCATTTGGTAAAGGTCATCCCTGAATGGAAATATAATGCAATGCTCGCTTCTCGTAATAATAATAGGAACGTGGCATCTTAAATCTTTATAATAAGGTTATGGGGTAAGTGGTAAAAAGGGTGGCCGTATTTATATTCATTCGCCGACTTTCCTCATTAGCCCGGTTTGACTTCAGAGATGGTGTCGTCAGGCCGCCACGGTGGCGAGGAGATGTTAACTACCTCGCCTGGTATACAGGAGGTCGTGGGCTCGATCCCGACCCTGACACCTGCTGTATATTTGTAGTTTGCGGTGTCATCATCGCAGTGGCTAGGAGATGTTAACTACCTCGCCTGGTATACAGGAGGTCGTGGGCTCGATCCCGACCCTGACACCTGCTGTATATTTGTAGTTTGCGGTGTCATCATCATCGCAGTCATTTGTGGCCAAGTCGCTTCTGAAAAAGAGCTACGTAGCTCAGCGGGCCTTACCTGGTAAAATAAAATTAAATGTTTATAGAGCTCTGTTGACTGGTGTGTAAATGAATACCGGTCCGCTCCAAGATTTGTTCACCCCAAGAAATTTTCAGAAAATATTTGTCGCCAACAGTGACGTCTGTACCCTCGTGGTCGGGGTCAATGCTTAGGACTAAGTTAAGACCAGCATTCATAATATAAGAAGACTCCCACATGTGATAGAATATATTTTATTCCATTAGCCCATTGGTATTCCAAACCAATATTGTTATCCAGCAGCATGTTTAAGGAAAAACTGTTGACGGGTTTCAACCTTCTGGGTTAAACAAATGCTGTTGGATTTCCAGGTTGTTATTGGCAAATGCCACACCATGACGGGAATAAAAAAATAAAATTTTACTGAACCTGGACTAAGCAACTATTTCCCAATAACTGCGGAAAGTGGTCGTAACACTCAGGTTTGAGTTGAACTTAACATGGGTTAGAGACTTTCTATTCTCTAAAAGAAAAATGAGAGTTATACAAAAAAATTAACAGGCTCCAATGTTCAGAAGGGGAATCAACATACACACGCACCTCCGATCAGCACGGTTGGCTATGTACGGTGCGAAAGAAGTTCAACATACATACAGATATCGACGATTGTTGGCTTTTGGTGGGGAAGAATAATCATGCCTGGGGATCAATTTGGTCGTAGTTTGTGGTCTCTGACGCCGGCACGGCGAGGCACCATGGTGAGGCCAGAACCATGCTAGGGCCACTTCACCATCCCGGTTGCCGGTGGTAAAATATACACCGGGAGTGGTGGTGTGTTGATAACCACCGACCCACGCCGCGACTCGCGTATAAAGGTGCTCGATCTAAATGCGTATAATAGGTTGAGAATGACTAATATACCAATGTAATGCGATAATTTTGTGGTGGTGGTTGGTGATGACGATGGTGATGGTGGCAGTTGGTGGACCAGCCTGTGGAGGTGATGATGGTAGCGGTATTGCGTTGTGGGGAGCGGTGGTGTAGCGGTTAGCATGCTGCGCTACGAACCCGGCGACCCGGGTTCGATTAGCGCTCGTGGCCAACACCAGTGACGTTTATCTTAACCGGTCCTGGATTTCCCCTAGGTCGACTCGGTCTCAAATGAGTGCCGAGTACGATGTCTAAAAACATTTCCACTCGGGAGACAAAGGCGGCCGGGCGTGGTGTTGGCCACCCACCCCCTCGTGTGCCGTGCCGGCCTTCATAGGCGCTCGCTAACAGCACTTGCCCCAACAGCCTGTTAAGGCTACACGGGGGATCTCTGTTCTTTGTTCATTATTGGTGGAGGTCGTGGTGATGGCGGCGATGGTGGCAGAGGTGGTCACGCCCCAGAGGTCACCTAAATATCGCCCTTGGGTTCGAACGCACAAAAAAAAACCTCGAGCCTCTGTAAAGTCGTCCTCTGGTAATAACGCCGCAATTCGTCATCGTGTGTTACCCACCACGTGACTCAATCACGTGTGCGCGCTTTATGATGCAAATCGGGTAACGTCTGTTTAACACGTGGTAGGCTTTCATAACCGATATTATCCATAATAAAGGTATTTGGGTTAGATCGCGTAAATATGAATGTGTCGTAACCCTCCACCACCCGACACAGCCAATTCGTAAGGGATTTGTCAAATCGCCCGATGATGCTGGATATAATTACCGGCGAAACGCCGTGCTACTCAAATTGTAAATGTTGTGAATTTGCTCTCCCAACACACCGGTGGGCTAAAGTTAGTATCTAACTTACTAATCGGCTGTGTCGGGTGGTGGAGGGTTACGACGCATTCATATTTGCGCGATCTAACGCCAAAAAACCCCCTTTATTATGAACGGGTAACGTCTTTTCACCGCTCTCAACCCAACCAGCGCGCGGCAGAGGTCGCAAACGGGTTTTGATTCCTTACCCGTACCCGGCCGCACCAGGGTCGCAAACGGGTACCCGTACCCGGCCGGGTACGGGTAGCCGGGTATCGGGTAGGGTACGGGTATCGGGTACCCGGTTGCGACCTCTGGCGCGCGGTGCTTCCCCGCGGCTTTGCATCCTAGCGGCGTCCCCCGTTTGCCCACCCCTACGGTGCCGCCGCCGCCGCAGCCGCTGCTGCTGGTGTGGTGGTGCTGGTGGTATGTTCGGGGTTAAGCGGAGTCCAGGCGAGTAGGCGGCCGCGCCGTGCCTGGCCAGCACCACCGTCATAATTGATGGCGCTGCTCTGGCTCCCTGATCTCCGGGCTCCCAATCGGGCTCCCCCATCCTCCGGGGTAACGGAGCCAACAAAAATAGGGTCAGTCACCTCCACCCCCCGGGTCGCTGCCTTCACCGCTCCCCAGCGCTCTGTGCTTCTCCTCCCCCCACTAAGCCACCTCACACGACCACCTCTCTTCACCTCCCCCTGCCTTTGTCAACAGCTGTTTATCGGTTTCCTTGCCCCTCTGTGAACTCCAATACCTCCCCCTCTTTCATCGCCTCCTATCAGACGTCCACACGTCTGTTGGCCCGTATTCCTTACTTCAACCAATTTCCGCATCCGTCTTGTTTCCTCCACTCTCCCCTTATCCTCTCTCGCTTTCCCCTTTTCCTCCCTCCCCCTCCCTCCCCCTCCTCTCGTCAGTCATTCCTCCCTCAATCGTTCACATCGTCTCCCTCCGCCGACTGCCCCACCGCCATCCCCGTATCTCCACTCCACGTGTACCCCTTTTTCAAGATCCTCCCCCAGTGTTTTGCCAAACTGTCGTCGATGCCCCCATGATCGTCCCGTCCCCGCCGCCGCCGTGGGTAGCTGTCCCGAGGACATCTGCGAGTCTCCGGCTGTGACGGTGACGCTCCCAAATTGGTCGGGAGTGTAAAGTGATGCGGAGCGCCTCTCAAGACGATGCTTTTTGCACGTAGCTCTCCCCTCTTCCACCATCGTAGGATCGTCGTCTGTCTTCAGAGGTAGATATGTAGAAGACTTCCCGGGCGGGGGGGGGGTGGTGGAAGTGCGGGGGGGGGTGGGGGGGTCGTCGTCCCCAAAGTTAATTTCAAGCTCTCAAACAGGGCCCTTACTTAACAATAAAAATAAAGAAACGTTATAATGAATTTTCCGTGGTAAATATCAGCAACAACATTTTTTTTTTATGGGAAATCAACTCCATCCCTCCCCCCTTGTATCTGCCACTGTTATTTGTCCAATATCTCCCGGTTCGTTATGTACCTTCGAGGTGACAACCCAAATCCTTCCAGCACCTCCAACTCCCCCCCCCCCCACTGCCCCCCACTCCCCTACCACAAACCCGATCACCCCCCCCCCCCCGCCCGTCACACAGCTTCCCATCGAAAGAGTAATTCCGCCGTCGTCTGCTCCGGGCTGTCAAAGTTAAGCTGCGCGCAGCGCCTGCTCGGGCCGGAGCGAACGGGATCACGTTCGCAGCGGCGCGGAACGCAGCGGCGGCAACGCAGCGAGTGGCCGTCTCCACCGGGGGGGGGGGGGGGAGGGGGGGGGCGTCACGTTGGCCAGGAGGCTCCAGGGGTCAGGCGACGCCGCCGAGTTCCTGGGATCGAATCCGAGCTGCAGCCGTGACCTGGCGTTTAACCGGCGTTATCGCACTTGTCTCGAGTTGCCGGACTCGGCACGGTCACCAACGGCTGCGCGCGAGGAGGAAAAAAAAAACCTCGTGACAGTAAATGTACTTCTGCACTTAATTTGGATACATTCCGCCTTTGAGAATTAAAACAACTTTCGGTGTGTCACGAGACATTAACATTGTATGGGCGAAACACCTCCTGAAGACATTTTATTGGTCGCTTTGTGACATCTTCCATGGGCATTCTCTGACACAGTGTGCTGCACCTCTCACTGCAAGAGTTCCAAGTGGAAATGTATACTCTTAGTTTTTTCGGTAAAGTCACGTAGGTAAAAAATGAAAATTAAATTAATAAAAAATCACGACGTTTCGGAGGCAACACAAGTCTCCGTCATCAGGTGGGACCGTCACAGCCAGATTTGCTGTATCAAGTGAGGCAGGGATTCCAAGATGCAAGTTCTTA